CGCCCGCGGCGGGGACTGCGGGGACTGCGGGGACCGGGGGGGAGCGGGGGGGAGCGGGGGGCACTGGGGGGGACCGAGGGACTGGGGAACTGACGGGGCTGGGGACATTGGTGGCACTCGGGGCACTCGGGCATTGCCCGCGGAACTGGGCTCGCAGGGGGGAGCGAGGGGGGACTGGGGGGCTGGGAATGCCCTGGGCTGTGGTGGGAGGTGACGAGAGGGGCCGCTTTCACTGAAATCAGCGAGAGTGACTCGTGGGAGAGACTGGGGGGACTCGGTGCGACACGGGGGGCCGGGGAGGCCCCGCCCGTCGGGTCCTTCCCGCCCAGCCCCGCGGGCTCGGAAATGGCGGCCGGAGGCGGTGGCGCCGTGGAAACGGAGTGACCCCTCCCCTCCCGCGGCCTCCCCGCCGGACCCGACCCGAGCATTCCATCCTGTCCCTTCTTCTCCCGTCCCATCCCATCCCTTGCCCTCCCGCTGTCCCCTCCTGTCTCAGATCATCCTTTCCTATTCTTTCCCAGCCCATTCCAATCGCCCCTGTGATGTCCTTTCCAGTCTCGTGCCCSGTTCTGCCCATCCCACCAMATCCTGTCCCATCCCCGCACTCCTRTCCCCTCCCATCYATCCTGTCTCTTCATGCCCTGCTCCATCCCACTSCAACCACACTCTGTGATCCCATCCTGTCCCTTCCCACTCCATCCTCCCCCATGCTGTGTCCAGTCTTGTCCTATCCAGTCCCACACTATCCATCCCACATGTTGTCCCATCCCATCTCATCCCATCTATCGTGCCCCAGTGTACCCTACTGTATCCCATTTGCCCCATCCCATCCCATCCCATCCCATCCCATCCCATCCCATCCCATCCCATCCCATCCCATCCCATCCCATCCCATCCCATCCCGTTCCACCCCCTCCCACCCCCATCTCATCTCCCCTGTCCCATCCATTTCTGCTCTGCCTCTGCCATATCCCTGGTAACCCTGTGGTTTATGGGGAAAGGGAGAGGGCAATTGGGACAGGATGAGGCAGTAGGGCTTGGGCAGGTAGAGGGGTGTGACAGCAGGCASGGACCCCCAGTTGGGGACACCCTGTCCAGGCCCCTCTTGGGCTGTCCCAGGGATCCACCACCTCTGTCATGGGGTGACCCACTGGGAGGGGACACCGGGAGCAGCTCTGGGATGGAGGGGGGGATCCCTGCCTGGTGTTTGTACATCCCAGTGCAGCTGGGGAGACTGGGATGCAGGGCAGCTCCTGGGCAGGAGTGCCTGACCCTGGCTGTGGGTGTTCCTGTGGATATGGGTGTGGATCACCAGGTGTATTCATTCCCAGCAGTGGGTTGGGATACAGCCACGTGTGTAACACACAGAGCACACGTGTGACCAGAGGGACACTTGTATGTCCTCACAGTGTCTCTGTGTGCTCAGAGCCATGCTCAGCCTCACCGCTGGCAGCACCCACCCTCCCCAGCCTGGATGCCACAGGATGCTCCTTCCCTGAGCTCTTCTCCCTCCTCCTCTTGCTCCCCACCACCWCCAGCATCCCCATGCCCCGTCCCACAGCTTGGCTCCAGAGTGTGTGGGGATTCACCCAGGGTCACTTTGATCTGGCTCTCTGGACACCCAGCGTGGATTGGGATGGCTGAGGGGCTCCAGCACTGCCCAGTCTCTTTGAATTCCAAGTGCCACATCCCCACGTTGGCTCTGACCTATGAGCTGCCCTGTCCACCTACACCAGGTCCCAAGGTGCAACAACCCCTGGGCCTTGTTGGAGCTCAGGGGGTCTCTGGTGGGGAGAGGGAACTGTCTCCATGTCCTGGGCTCTGACAGGGAAGAGCCTGGGAAATGCTGGGCTGAGGGGGAGCCWGGAAGGGAAGAGCACCCAGTGTGTGGCACCAGCTGGGCACCCTTTGAGGTCCCTTTCAAGCCAGGCCATTCTATGATTCCGTGATCCCAGGTGGCCATAGCTCCACCCTGCCGCACATCCAGGGACTCCTCAGCCATCCACAGCCCCATCTGTGTGTGGCACAGGCTGGCTCCCAGAGTTCAAACCCAAAATCTGCTTCCAGCCATAGCAGCAAAGTAAAAACCACGAATCCCAAATGCTGGATGCATCACCCCAGAGGAACCTCGTTTGCCAGGCCTGGCTCCCTGGATGCTCAGCTTGGATTGTGCTGTTCACCTGTTCCACAATTACCTGGAAAAGCTGAGTAACAGCCAGAAGCAGGATCAGGGACACAGAATTCAGAATGGAAACACTGTATTGACAGACTTTACAAAAGTTATTACAAAACACAGTCACGAACCAGCAGCTGACGATACAGAGACACCACGTACAGCCACCTCAGAACAACACCAACAGCTCCAGAAGTCATCCAATATTTACACAAACGGCTGGAAAACTCCGGGTAGTTATCGCATACATGGAAGTGTTTYAGAGCAACTGTGAAATATAGTGTCACACCTTTCCTTGTAGTATTATAATCATAATAATTAGTARTAATAATAATAATWAWTAATAATAACAGACTACTTCTAGGTTAACTAAAAACCAAACAGCTCTTTACAGGGGTTAGGAGAAGCTGCTTTCACTCGTCTGACTTACCTGAGTGAGACCAAACCCAGTTAAAAAATAATAATAAAATCACCTTCATTGTCAGGAGTCTGTGTGTCAGCCCAGCGGCGCCGTTCCCTCAGGCCAGAGGGGAACCGCAGCCCGGCTGGGGCCAGTGACACCCTTCAAAAGAACGGAGACGTGTCCTCCTCGTGTGAGTGACCCTGGCACGCCTCCAAACGCTGCCCTTTCTGCTTCAATGTCCTCAGCCCCTTCTCCTGCACCTGCTTCATCTCACCCCGCTCTTTGCCACGCTTTCCTCTCCACTTCTCCGCCTTCCACAAATCCCACGTCGTGCCCTAACCGCCTCTCTATGCCTCGCCTCTCTTCCCTTCATCCCAGTCGTGGCCTCGCAGCCTTTCGGGACRCGGCAGCACAGCGGGAGCGGGCGGCCGGCTGGGAACGGCACCTTCCTTCCCTCCCTCTCTCCTCGCGCTTCCGGCCTTGMAGTGAAACGAGTGGAAAAAAGAAAGCGAAAGCTTGTCACTCCTGAATATGCACAAAGATAGGTGGGGGAACACCTGCTAAATACGGACCCCAGAGAATCGCTCGGGATTATTCTCTACGGGCAGAATCCAACCCTGCGTAGGGAACAGCGAGCACGGGGCCTGCGCCGCGGTGGAAGTGCCACGGAACCCCRCGGGGTCCCAGAGGTGCCTGGGCCGGCCGAGCAGAGTCTGTAAGAGGAATTCCTTGGATGCTTCACCAAAGCGGGCTTCGTAGCATGACCACATGGATTAGCCGCGATACAAGTCACTGCCATCATGCTGCACGTCCACCTGCCAGACCGTCACGGTCACCGCGAGCCCTTCTGCCCCGGCCCCACCATGGCTACTGCTTAGTCTCTTTTTTCACGCAGAAATGGTCGGTTTGGGTGCCTGCCGCGCCCAGGTTATGCTGGGAATCCTCCCCGGGCCGTGGGTTGCGCGAGTGGATTTTCTGGTGGCAATTCAGGGACTCTTTGTAGCGGAAGTGCTTCCCGCAGACGGGGCACTGGTAGGGGGTCTCCCCGGTGTGCACCCGCCAGTGCTTGAGCAGGTGGTCCCGCCGGATGAAGCTCTTCCCGCACTCGGTGCACTGGTAGGGCCTCTCGCCGGTGTGGATGCGCTGGTGGCGGATGGCTTTGGAGAGGTCTCGGAAGTCCTTCCCGCAGTAGGTGCACGTCAGCGGCCCATCGCCCTTCCCCGTGTGCAGCTTCTGGTGCAGGATAAGACTCACTTCCARGCTGAAGCTCTCCTTGCACTGGGAGCAGGTGTAGGGCCTCTCCACCATGTTGTTCACCTGGTGCCTGACGAAGCCGTACTTGAGTCCCGAGCTCTTCTCTCCGTCGGGGCGCTTGGTCGTTTTGGAGCGGGAGGGGCCCTGGCCCTTGGCTTTGGATTTCTGCCGGAAGCCCTCGCTGCGCTCCAGGGAAGTGCAGGCCTCCTCGCTGGCGTGCGCCTTCTGGTGGGTAGCAAAGAGCTGCTTGTCCAGGAAGCTCTGCCCGCACTCACAGCAGATGTAGGGGCCCTTGTCAGCCGCCGCCTCCTCGGGATCCTTCCTGGCCAAGTCTCTCCCGCGGCGCACCGAGCGCCTCAGCCCGTTGCCAGTCGCCGTTCGCTGCTGTGGGGCCGACCCGCTCTGGCTCTTGCTGCTTGACTGCATCTCCTCCTCCGGGCTGGAGAAAACCTCTTCCCACTTTCCTGTCAACGACCTGGAGAGCTCCAGGCTCTCGGAGCCTTCCTCATCACACGGCTGTTCGTCTGGCAGAGCAGAGACACTCGTGTCATTTGGGGAGGCAGGAACTGGGTTGTTATTCACACCACAATTGCCTTGGTACACGGGTGGTCTCTGCTGTGCACACCCAGGTCAGAACCCGGGGTTGTGAGTCCGGTTGGGAGCACCTACCCTGTCCTGGGATACAGGAGAGGCCAGAGGGATTTGACTTGGAATCACAGAATCATTGAGGCTGGAAAAGGCCTCAGAAGCATCGAGTCAAACCATCCCCTGGCACTGCCAAGGCCACCACTGTTCCCAAGTGCCACATCCACATGGTTTTTAAATCCCTCTAAAGATAGGRACCTCACCATTGCTCTGGGCTGTTCCAACGCATAACAGCCCCTTTTAGTAAAGAAATTTTCCCAGTTTTCAACCTAACCCTCCCCTGGCACAACCCGAGGCCTTTTCGTCTTGTCCTGTCCCTTGTTTCCTGGGAGCAGAGCCCGACTCCCCTCAGCTGCCCCCTCTTGTCAGGGTGCAGAGCCACAAGAGCCCCCCGGAGCCTCCTTTGCTCCAGGCTGAGCCCCCCCCAGCTCCCTCAGGCACTCTTAGTGTTTCAGACCCTTCCTAACCTCCATTTCTTTCTCTGGACATGCTCCAGCAACTTCCTGCTTTCAATTACATTGTAATTATATATAATCTACCTATAGATAGGTAGCCAAAGTCAAAAAGTGGGTTCCTCAGGAGGTGGAGCAGGACAGCTCTTTAAGAACTTGTGGTTTAGGACAAAGGCAAAAAAAAAAAATGAGGAAAAGTGAATAAAATTTCTTTTCCTCATGGGCTTGTACAGTGCCTGAGGCTGAAGGAATTTTCACAGTGTAAACCATGACTCAAAGCAACTACCCAAAATTCTGGAAAAGCACCATCCAGAAGAGCTGAGCTGCTTCTGGGAATGAGGCTGGGAAGCCAAAAGCACATCCAGGCAACGGACACTTCCCAAAGTGACTCAGTGCACTCACATGTACCAGGGACCTCCATGCTCTCCTCTTCCTCGGAGCCCTCGTGGCTTTCAGCCAGCGTCTCTTCGTATTTACCCCACGAGCTGTCATCAGGCCCAGGGAAGAAAAACTCTGTGCGAGAGGAAAGAGCAGGATTAACACTCCAGCCTCCCACCTACTTCAGAGGATTCCAGGAGAGAGGTGGGAGACATGTGGGAAAGCAAAGTCCCCCTGTACCTGAGGACAGAGCTGACAAAACTGAGCAGCCTGGCACACATCTGCTTCCACCTCCCCACCCAGCCCCAGCAACCTTGTGGCTCACCAGTGCTGGGGTCCGTGGGGGTCTCTCCTCCCTCRGACTCCTCCTGATCCTCCGCGTTGGGATCCTCTCCCTGCTCAATCCGTGTCAGCAGCTCAGGCTTCGAAATGGCAGCGTCTGCAGATAAAAAGAGGATGAGGCTGTTTCCCCTGCCCCGGTGGGAGAGTGACTCTCCAGCCTTCACCCACCAACCTTCCTTCACTGGGAAACGGAACAAGAGAGGCTTAGGAAGCTGCTCTCCCCCACCTGCCCCGCTCACCTTGGGTGGGCCCTGGATGCAGGAGCACCCTCTGCTCAGGTGAGGGGCACCTCCCAGCCTGCAGCGTGAGGAGGACAGCAAGGAAAGGCACCCACGCTTACCTCCAGGCTCTCCTGTCTTCTCCTCTCYGCTAAGGTCCGCGGATCCATTACAATGGGGGCTTCAGCTCGGGGGCAGCACCAGGGCTGCCAGCACTGCCCTCCCCGTGCGGTTCCCTCCAGCCAGGACCGCTCCGTCCTACTCGTCCGAGTCACGGGCTGCTCGCGGATTTTGGTGGGGGAAAGGGGACAATCACCATCTCTCCTGGGTGGAGAGCGGAACACTTCACTTCCACACACGTGGGAGGCCCTGGCGATTAAATTCCACCTCTGCTCCGGTGGATCCATTTGCCTTATACAGGAGCCAAACCCCTAAATCTCGTTTCTCAAGGGAAACCTTGGGATGAAGCACAGACACATTTTTCTAAGCTCCAGGCTCAGATCCCTAGATCCCCTCCAGCGGGACCACTGTATTCCCATGCCTCAGGAGCAGGACACAGGACTGGTTTGAAAACAGGAGAATGGGGACTGTGGTTACCCTTCATGTTTTTCCCTGGCACACAGGGACTGCAGGAAACGTCTTTTCAAAGAAGTAAAGGAAAAAAGGCTGGGAAAAAAAGCAGAAAAGGCCTGGATTGGGCAGAGCTGGATGGCAGGGAGGTRGATAACCCTGGACTCAGCACAGGGAACTGTGTGGATACCAGGGACAGTGTCTGTGCTCCCACCCACTGTCCAGCCAAGGCAAGGTCATTTCTGGAACATGTTGCGAAGGCAACGTGTTCCCCAGAGGGAATTCCCGCGGCCAGGACTGGCAGGAGAGAGCGGAGCGCGTTCCTTTGGCTGGGAATGCTCTGCCCTGAGCTGCTGAGCGGAAAGCAGGAGGCAGAGCTCACCCTCACCCGCTGCTTCTCCCCAGCTCTGCCCCAGCAGACCCTGCAGTGCCTCGAGCAGGACTCGCTCCCTGCAGTCCAACAGAGCACCCAGGCAAAAGTCACTTCTCCCTCACAGAAGGCCCCATGGCAAAGGCTGGAAGGAACCTCAGAGGCAGGGCACAGGGCACCCTCAGCTGCCCCAAGCAGCCAGCGGGCTGATGCACCCAGCACAGCGGATCTGCGGACCTTGGCGTGACAAAGGAACTTCCCTCTTCCCCAGCTTTGCTTGGATTGAGCGTCCTCTTACTTCCCCTCCTCCCCCTCATGATCACAGCACTTGTACGGTCACAGGGACCAGCAGGGAGCCACTGTCCCTGCAGTGACACTCACGACATCCTTCCACCCTTAATGTGGCTGTGAGGGTTGAACTCACTGCCAGGGCTGTGGAACGCCTTCCCAAAACACACCACCCCCTCCCTGAACCTGCAGGACACAGCACTCCTTCCATCCACCAACTCCCGGGAAAGCGCTGTGCCAGGAGGCTGAGGGCAAACCCCAGCCATCGTTACCCATGGAGATGACCGCCTCGTAGTTGCCTTTCATGATGTGCCTGTAGAGCTCCTTCTGCCACTCGTTGAGGCTCTTCCATTCCTCCTCAGAGAAGTTAAACGAGGCGTCGTTGAAGGCCACGGGGACCTGCAAGGAGCAGCACCATGGCGTTTGTTTTTCATTTAAGAAAACACCTGGAAGATGCTTTCTCATTCAATTTTCTCACTCAAACTCCTCAAACATCCTGCAGGACAGTCCTAGGCAGGAACATCTGCCCCTTCACACATGCCTCATCCCTCAAGGAACACGACAAGGATTTCCCCTGTCACCTGCTTGTCACCTCCCCCTGCTCAGCCTCCTCCTGTCACAGGTGATGCCCCATGCACAGGACCTGGCACAGACTCCTTTTCATCTCCTTTTTGACACAATTCTGTGGCTCATCACCTCTGAACAAGTACCAGGGATGTTCCCAAACCCTCCCAATTACACGTGGATGAGCCACACAATTTCACGTGATCCAAACACAGGAATGGCCGACACTCTTCCCAGATCACACATGCACGAGCATAGGTAACACAGTGGGACCTGTGCTAGTACTTCTGGGTGMTAAGGGAACACAGTGCTCTGGGGGAGCCATGAACTGCTCCCAGCAGTGCAGCTGCCCCAAAATGGGGCTCTGAGCGCAGGGACAAGGCTGTCAGTACAGGATATGAGGCTGTGACGGCAAGATATGGGGCTGTSAGTGCACAGGATGTGGGGCTGTCAGTGCAGGGATGGGGCTGTACTGAGCACAGGGCTGTGAGTACAAGATAYGGGGTTGTGAACACAGGATATAGGGTTCTGTGCACAGGATACAGGGTTCTGAGCCCAGTATCCATGCAGAACTGCCCCGTTTTGCTGCAGGGAGCAGTGAACCGTTACCTTGGGCACTTCTCCTTTTGCCCCCGGAGGCAGCCGCAGGATCCAGAAGTTCCTGTTCTTCAGCAGGTTCTCCATGTTTTCCAGCCGCTTCTGCAGCTGCCCGTACTCCTGGATGAGGGTGCCCAGCGCCGTCCACTTGCTCTCCAGCTGGTTCCCGAACTCCACTGCCGTCTTCTCGCAGCCGATCAGCTTAGTCTCTGCCATCCTCATCCTGCCCTCCAGGTTCATCAGCTGGGCGGCCTGGGTGTCCACCTTTCTGTCCACGGCCTGGATCTCGGTGACCAGCGTAAGGGAGATCTCGGCGGCCGGCAGCTCGGCCTCGCCGCCGGGGCCCTGCTCGGGGGCGGGCAGCGGCTGCTCCAGGTCCAGCTCCTGGGGCTCCATCATGCACTCCAGCTCCTGCGGGGGGAAGGCGCCGGGCGCGCGGCGGTGAGCGCGGGGACGCGCCCGCAGCC